TTTTTTTTTTCTCTCTTTTCATTTCCTTTTCGAGTATCACTCGAACAAGCCCAAGTTGTAGCTATTGAATTATTTTTCGGGTTCATTTATTGGTTCACCCATCTGGGTTTTCATTTATTGAATTAGGATCGTTAATAATACTCACATTTTGCTGAAATTTCTTGAAAAAAATCAAAGCCCTTTTTGTGTACTATCTTCCTATAAGACTCAAAGACCCTTAAAAATCCCGTCTTTGGGCATATGGGGCTCTTTTGCCTTTTGTTTTCTGGTTAGTGTTTAGACCCATGTTGATTTTTTTTTTTTTTTCAAACTATTATTTTTTTGTTCTGATTGCATTTTCCAGTTGACATTATGTTATCCATTTAGGACTTTGTGTGTGTGTGTGTAGGACAACTGACTCTACTACATTCTTAAATTGGACATTTTTGACCGACTTTATGGAAGGATAAGAAACAGTTGGGGATTAGGCAGCAGCAAAGAGCTATATTATTGCACCTATGAATCGTTTAACTGAGGACCACCAAGAACTCAAGAGCATAGGAAATGACGGCCATATAAATACTGATCATCCTGAAGAGAAGGCCCATCAAGATTCTGGCTCGGTTGTAGGGAGAAAAGGATCAGGTGAGAAGGAAATGGCCCCCATGGCCGGAAGTTCAATTCACCGGTCATCTTCTCGGCCGCAGCTGGATCTGAGTGGGGCCGCCATCCAGGGGAATTTCGAGGAGAAGGACCCGACGATTTTGCTGCCGAATCAGTCTGATGATATTTCTCACTTGGCTTTGGATATTGGAGGTGAATCTTTTTTGGGTTGAATGCATCTTTGTCCTCATGTGGGGATTTGTGATTTTTGTCTTGCTTTTAGCTGAATTTTTGAAATATTTGAAATTGTGTAGCATGTGATGAGCTATGCTGTGTGATTGGTACTGAATACGTTTTTGCTGTATTTTAGCTCTATTCATGTTTGCGCGTGTTTGTTAATCTCAATTCTTGAAAACACGTAAGGAGTGCGTTGGGCAAGCTGAAACTCTGTGTGTGTTTGTTACCCTTGAATCGATACCATTGATGTCCAATAGCTTTGATAGTAATGGCTGGATCTACTACTACCTCATTCATCGAGTATAACAGAGCAAATGATGGTATAGCAATGAACATAAGGATGTGATTTTCATGAATTCTGGATTATAGTGTACTTAATTTTTATGCAAAGATATTGTACCTTTTTACTTTCTACTGCATCTTTCTCTTCTTCAGGGCCGTATAATTTGTCTAAGTTGCCATCGAAAACTATATTTTTCTGATCAAATCATTATGAAAGTTGGTGTATGTAACATTGGCAAAAAGCTTATTTATTAGCTGATTTGCTCTATCATTACTGCTTGCTGGTTGCATTTATGCCTGTCTGTATATATCGTATGGAGTGGAGTGCTGATAAACTTTCACCTCAGAGATGTGCTATCAGACGACTCTTCATGTCCATCATTGTCATTGAGTTTCATCATATATTTATTTTCTCAGCAATTTTTCTCAATTACCTGCGTTTTCTTGGCAGGATCATTAATTAAGCTGGTGTACTTCTCAAGGCACGAGAACCAATCGGCCAATGACCGGAGGAGAAAGATTATCGAGGCACGACTCGGTATTACCAATGTAAACAGAAGGAGCTACCCGATTCTTGGAGGGAGACTACACTTTGTTAAATTCGAGACGTATAAAATTAACGAGTGCTTGGATTTCATCTATTCCAAGCAGCTTCATCGTGGGGGCACGTTTCTTGCTTTCCTCAAGTTGATTTTGTACATGCTGCTTTCTAAATTGTACTTCCCAGCGAGTGACTTTGACAGTTTCATGGCGTTATCTGGCAATTATAATCTGAATGTTTGATTGCAGGAATGGAATCACGGATTTGGCAATCTGAGGTTCCAAACACGGAGAACACTGTAATTAAGGTATTTGTTTTTGAGTTCCCATACGTTTCAGTTTAAATAATTTACTGTCAGCTAGTAGAATTATTCTTTTGCAGTTTTTCTCTTGTTAAGGTATCTTGATTTTTTGTTATCTTACTTATCATGAATTCCGGTATTCTTCTTTCTTGGACACGTCTTTCATTCCAAATGTTTATTTATTGTATTTTCGTTTTCTTTTATGTTTTCTGTGTTTAGCAATTCCCTGTGAACATATAAATAAAGTTCACTTTAATGAGGATAACTGGTTTCACGTGATTTTAACCGTCGTCACAAGAACAGGGCGTCCATGTGTATTAACTGGGGTCATGTATGTGAAGGCAACAGGTGGTGGGGCCCACAAGTTTGCCGATCTTTTCAAGGAAAGGCTTGGGATTAGTATAGAGAAAGAGGATGAAATGAATTGCCTTGTGGCTGGTGCAAATTTCCTACTCAAGGTGTGTTTTAACATTCTTTATGTTATCAAGTAAATAGGATAACTGCCAATGTTGTTTGACTTGCAACCACTATTCTTTAATTGACCGTGTTTTAACATTCTTTTTGATATCTGTTTCTTGTGCATTTTGAATTTACGGCTCGATCTTCAAAAGATACCGGGCTTGTTTTCATACATGATATTCACCACTCAAGAGCTTTTAAAAAATATATAGATTTGGTAAAGTTCTTTTCTTTGAAGCATTGAGTCCTAAGTGCTGAGCTTGTAGTTTGTTTGAAGAAAATTACTTCCATTAACTATTTATTGTGCTTTTTGTGCAGGCTATTCGACATGAAGCTTTTACGCACATGGAGGGCCGAAAAGAGTTTGTGCAGATCGACTCAAATGACTTGTTTCCTTATCTTCTTGTCAATATAGGATCTGGTGTCAGTATAATAAAGGTTATCTTGATTTAGCCTGACCCCAACTTTTTATGCTCGGGTGAGAGCACTTTGAATTCCACTAACTTTATAATGAATTTGATTTTATTGGGTAATTACAGGTCGATGGAGATGGAGTATTTCAGCGTGTTAGTGGAACAAATGTCGGTGGGGGTACATATTGGGGTCTAGGGAGGCTCTTAACCAAGTGCAAAAGGTTGTCTGATGGCTGTTAACTGTTCTATTAAAAAAATTCCTTTTTGTGCAGTCATTTGATTA